GAACTGTGTGGCGGCCGCTATTTTGCCCGTGACTCGTCCAAACGTATACCGGACGGGATGGTGGCGTACGGCGCGGCGCGGCGGCGCAGGTATTCCTACATCGCAATTACAGAGACAGCGCCGCGTTCGCCTCGCGTGGAACGTATCAAGAAGTGATTTTCTATTACGGCGGTATTGAAACGCTAAATTGTCTCGCGACTGCGCGCACCGGGAAGCCGTAAATGACGCGCGCACCGCGAACCGAAGCGACTCGTTACCTCAACCGTCTTCTTAATCACGACGCATAATATACGCATAATAAGCGAGCGAAACAGCGCGTGATAATACGTAAATGAAATCAGGAAATAAACTAGTCGTAATAGTGAGCTGAAGAAAATAAATAAACGGTGTACACGGGTGTAGCTATTTATGAGATAAGATATACACAACGAGAGAATAAAGAATATATACGATGTGACAAAAAAAAATGTAAATAAATCGTTATGTAATAAGCGAACGAAGACGCGATCATTATCGCAACAAATATGTAAAATAAATAAATAAAACAAATGTATAAGCATGTATATATAAAGAAGTAATACACAGATCGAATAAATATCAATAGTGGAATAGAATCGTTGTAAATAAAATAGACAAGTAAAATAACCATAACGTGCAAAGAAATTAATTGAAATAAGTGGATTAAACGAACGAAACAATTATAAAAATAATTCAACGAGACATTTAAATAAACAGAGTAAAGTAGTCGAACGCAGAACATTTAGACTTGCACGTCGCAGCGCTGGAAGAGGAGAGTTTACACGTACTTTATAAAATACGTGCTCTCCTATTTCCAGGCGTTGCGACCAATTTTCCATATTCATATCGTATAAATCAGACCGGCGTTGCGAGTCGGCGAATGCACGCATACGCGTATATAAGGTAATGTATCGGCTACAATAAGACATCATTATTTGTCGCGCTCACGTCGAAGCACTAAATAGTCGCGCAAATATATCCCATAATTTCGCGCAAGTTACGACGTTATGGGCCGCGTGCTGCGAGTTCCGGCGATCCGTTACGTTATATTTCTAATACGCCGTTGGCGTAACACGTATATAAGCGTATATAGCGTAGCGTATGCGTATAACGCTATTGCCGCGTTACTATAAAAAAAAAACCCGCGATGATGTAGATTTGCCGTGCGGCGCGTATATCGGCGTCGCGGATTCGCGCCGCGCGAATCCTCTCTGCGTGCGCATCGATCAAGATGAGAGAGCGTCGTCCCTTTGTCGCGGAAGAAAGGGAAGCGGAAAGAAGGGGACCGCCTCAATTTCCGCCCGAAAATCGAGTACTATTTCACTTTATTCCACCTTTCGCGCGCACACGCGAAAAGCGCCCGTTGGATTTTATCTCGCCGTAACGCGGATACGAGAACCCACATACGCCGACCTATCCACGGCGAGAAATTATTTTCGTTCACAAGCACTAAACGGACCCGCCGACCCGCCGCGCCGGATAGCGTCGTAAATGCTTTATGAAATGCTATCAAAATTTTGACAACGAGAATTTCGATGTAAACATAGGAACAAGATTATATAGTACTCAGGACTTTTATTATAGCTAAAGAAGGATTGGGAATAATTATTAACTGGTAATCTGTCTCCATCATTCTCCAGCCTTCTCGTTCTCTTTCTCTATATATGCATGGAATAATAAAATTGTCCTTTGTGTGTAAAATGGTGGCGACTCTTAACGAGCAGAAAATAAACAGCAGCATCTAATTTGCATTCTTCGCTCCTCTAGGCCATGTATAATTAAAGACCCGAGCAAGAAAAGAACATTTATGCATTCTACGCGCAAATTATTCATATAGACGTAGGTAAACATTTTTCTAAAACGTAATCAGATAACGAATGTAGCAAATCTAATTAACAGAATAATCGAATGATTTAAGACAAGACAAGACAAGAGCAATTATTTGTCGCAGAAAAAATAATAATTTGGAAAATTGCGAATCAAATCTGGCGAGCACGCTAATAATAATTTGAGAAAAATTACGTGGGTCGCAAATTATAGTGACATACACCTATATCGTATAATAACAGCGCCGGAGAACGCCGCCCCGCGTGCAACGCATACACGTATGCATGTATATGCGCCGCGACGAGAGCCGCGAGAGAGGCGCATTTTGTCGCTGCATCTCGCATAAGCGCGCGTGTGCACGCGCATATGCCGCGGCAGGCGCGTGCAAAACGATCGCGATTACGCGCGTATACGGAGGTGCAGATTTATTGGCCGAACATTGCCTGCCGGTGAAACGATCCCGCAACGAGACGACGCGTCGTTCCGGCAGGCTAGGTTTCAGCATCGCGGCCTCGTCCTCACCCGCTCAGTCCCCTCTCAGCGCGAGCTCGGCGAAAGGGCTCTCTCTCTCTCTCTCTCTTAACGCGTCGAGCCGTCCTATAACTCGCCCGGTATAATGTTTAAATACTACCGCGTATAGGTCATACGCCTGCTACAATATTATCGTGCACGCGAGGCGCGCACCCTGCCAGGTTCCGCACGCTTCCTCTCATCTGCGGACACCGCCGCGCCGGTGACAAATCTGTGTGGACGCGATTTTTCTCTAATAAGAAGATGATCGGGCGTATCTACGGTCGCGCGTCGTCTTTCTAAGCCTTATATATATTTATATTCGCAGTTTACGACTTTCATTATGTACGAGGCCTTCCATTAAATCGCCAACTTTGCAAAATGCGTTAAGTCCAATGTGTACCAATATATATATGCTTGAGATTAAATTAATATCGTTAATATTATTTTCGGCAATTGGTAAACATAAATAACGGACTTCAGTTGCTCTTTTGCTAATTAATAGGTATTAATTAGAGCTCAAGAGGATACATCCCGGAGACACTTTTATACTTTATATAGATGAAACGGTCGGATTATTTTAGCTTATTTTGCACTTCTCATTTCTGCATACTATTCTCGTAACGCTTATATATATATGTAAAATATTTTAGCATGTGTAATACGTACACACGCGCACGCACACGCGTGCTCATATATATATTACTCATATTAATATATTTTTATTTGAGCATCGTTTATAATTACATATTTATAAGCTCTACGTTACATTGGCTAGTTTTTCATGGGATTATCCAGCGAACGTGATTTTATCGGAAGCGCGGCGCGATGTAGCGCATTAATCGTTCGGGTCGTAAATTAAAACGCACTTGTATAACTCATACGTATAACGCGAGAATAGTAATTTATGCAATCCGCACATAGGCCGGCGAGAGCCAATTAAAATTGTACCGTAAAATTGCTTAAGAGCGATTGCTGTACCGACCGTTCCATTAACGCAGAAATACCGCGGTGTACACGGGTCCCGACGAGCGTACAGCAGCCGCATATGATGCGATCCTCAACTTTTGTATAATTTTTTAACGCTTCCCGTCCACGGTGAGGGATAACTTACATTTGGAATTGCAGGAAAACGCGCGGCACAATAGGCAGGAGATATTTTGTCTTGTTGACAGAATACGTGATACTACATAAATCTGCACCTTTACACACACACACACACGCGCGCGCACGCACGCACACGCACACAGAGTCTTCCTTTTATTAAAATACAGAAACGTTAGAAAAAATCCAGATGACCCAGAGAATAAATGATAAAAGTACAACAATCTCTTTCTTTTTTTCTGCTCTCACCACTTAGTCAATTTTTAATTCAACTGCAAACATATTCATGCAATTTTACACATTTACAAGCACTTGAAAGAATCGTAATTTTTTTGAAGTAGTTATAGAAACGCAACGATGGCAGTGTTAAGTGTCTACCCTTTTGTTTGTTACCATTCATTTGCCGCCCATTTCTGAATAAAAGTAACTCTTTCATGTACAACAGCAATTTCCCATTTGGTCACTATCGTCCACGGTTTACATTTATTTACTTATAGCTCTCGAGATCTCATGCCGGTGTACATAACGGCCTCTTCTGCTCTCTGCTCTTCCGATCATTGCGGAACGGAGTGCAATCTCTAGCACGCGGCTAATTAATCGTATATTGCGAAGCGGCAATACGGTACTCGGCCCGTTAATATTGTGCACGAACATCCTCTCTTTTTCTCTCTCTCTCTCTTTCTCGTCTCGTTTAAAGTGTCGTTGCCGCCGCAAAAGTCGTGCCAGCAACATCGCCAGGTTGCGAAGCGCTAATACCGCTAATCGAGGCGATTTGTCGCTCGTTCTCGTGTATATGATCTCGCAAGAGGAGCCGCGCGATTACGCTATAGCGCACCGCGCAGATTTATTGGCCGTGGATGAGAGAGACCGATCCGATCGCCCGATGACGAAGGAGAAAGAAAGAGACCGAGAAACGACGAACGCCCGCCGTATACACCTCCTCCGCCGTCTTAAAGGGTTCGTCCTCGTCCCGCGGCAGCCGGGCGAACCGGTTCCGCGCTGCCGCTGGAATTCCAAGCTTTCGCTCGAAAGCGAATTCCCCCGATAAAAAGGGAATCGCGCGCGCCGCGCGGTGAGGTCGTCTCTCGTATATACTAGGGTACCACACGTACGGGCTTACCCGTGCGTGCCGATGCTACAATCGGTCGGCTATTTTTGGCGACACCACCGACACGGCGTCGATGCCCGAGCCGCGAGTCGCAAGGCCGAGGCTTCTCGCGCGCGCTTCACGCACGTGAGAACGCGCGCCTCGCGAGGGTGGTGATGTGAGCACGTATGCGGTGATTAACAGTCCTATATCTTTCACAAAAACGTTCCCTCTTTTTTTTTTACAACGTCTCTTTAAATTCGTTTTATATAGGTACGAGATATGTTATGCGCAGAGAATGTACCATTCAAAAACTGACAATGACAGAATTCTTAACTTTATTTATAGTATAATAGAAAAAAGATTAGATCTTTCCGTCTCCCTTTCGTGTATGTGCGCGCATGTGCATGCAGAGTGCGAATTTATCAAATCATCAGTAGTACACCTCACTTCAAGTTAACGATAATTATTCTTATCAAATGGAAAATATTTGATTCAATTTCATTTGCTATATGAAAAGTGCACTCACGCATACATATTATAGCGATAAAACATTTTACAATTTTGATTCGTCTCCGAAGTAAGTATAACAAAATTGATTTCACAAAATAAAACGACTTAACATTAAAGTTTCAAACGTTATATTCATTTGACAGATATCCGCACAGATAAAATTATGGCGTATGAATGAGACAAATATACATTAATAATGCTCTAATTATTCTAATTGTTGAGCACATAATATTCATGCCGTAAATACGATATCGTTGGATATCGATCATTGGAATATTTGATAAGTGGAACTCTCATTGTCCGTAATGTTTTCGGGTACGTAACCAATTTGTAATCCGCTTTGCGGCTCGAAATAATTGTTACGCCGATTCACGAATATTTTTGCAAGTGCGCAACCACACCGTAGAATTTTCACTTCGTTACAACGCATCTCTCCTCCCCCCCCCTCTCTCTCTCTCTTTCTCTCTCATTCACTCACTCTTTTCGCCTCGGCGTTTCCAATTACGGCAGGTTTTTCGTAAACGGGCGGATAACGGCGGAACAGTCGATAGCGCTAGCGATGTAAATTTCAGCTGCGGGCGGCCCGAGAGGCTTTTAAGTTGCAAATAGATCCGAAAAAGGTAATTTGGCACGGGGAAATCGTTTCGAGACATCGCCCGGTGCATTTTGTAAAGTGATGCACCGCGCGACCCGCGCGGCCGGCGGGCGCGAACGCAATGACGCGCCGAGTTAACGGGAGGTCAGCTCCGCATCCCCGGTTTAATTAAATTTCGTTCGGATTTTTAGAATTACCTCACGCGTCCGACAAGTCACACTCTCGCGAGAGTGACGTGATTGTCGCTACAACGATACAGCGGTATGCGTGCGTGCGTGCGTGAGTGCGTGCATGCGTGCATACGTTTCGTTGTAATGAGATAACATCGAGATAAAAACTCATGTAATGCATTTACATGAGTTACTACATTTTCTCGCTTCTGTTGACCGCCGATCTAATACGTAGTCCCGATATAACGATACGAGGCAATCCTGTTAAGCAGCCCACTTTTTCAAATTTCTCGGAGAGCTAGCTGCGTTTAGTTTGTGTGTAACTGTGTTTTTTAAATTTTGATATATTAAAATATTATTCCTATAACACTGCGCGCGCGAATCATCGTTTTAATCGTGTCACTCGTTCTATTTTCGCGCAACACATTTATAACGCCTCGTAAGAGTCTGACAATCAACTTTTTTTTTAATTTTGTAATTTTGTATGATTCAAATCTAAACGATACTACCAGTCTGCATATCTGTGATGTATTATGATAATCTGTAACCGCGATATGTAGTTATCATTCATTTTTAAAGCATTTTAGGCATAATTTCTGTTTTTATTACTCTAATTAATATTTTTTTGTCTATATTCGTGTTTTTAATATTTTTCTATGTTACATTAAACTGCAGCCACGCTTATTATTACGTCGAAATACTGTAATCCCGTTCGTATTACTTTACATTAGCCCGTATCCCGTAATGCGATCATCCCTCGTGCGACATGGCGCTCATTCAATTTGTTTAATTATAGCCATTATCCATTTTGATAGAAGAAAAAAGTTAATTTAATCGGGAATTGGTCAACCAAATCATAATAGACTTCATAAACAACGGCATCGGAATCGATAGCTTTACCTCCCCCCCCCCCCGGGATCCTGAGTTAATTAAATCTCGCTTCGATTTTTCGAATTACTACGCGCCGTATGCGACGAACCGTGTGCACGCGCGTCCCGCTGCTTTAATGGAATGACACGATTTTCACGGGTGGCTTTCATTTAGCGTGGCGCACTCGGCAGCTGCTTTTATGCACATTCTCGCATCGCGAGCCGATCTCATTTTTAACGACGTCATTATGCGGATTTATAACGTTAACATTTGATTACCCGCCATTAGCGTCCCGCAACGAAGTTTCTTCGGCGAAAAATTTTTAACGACAATTTTGCCAACGATTTTGCTGCTCCGGGGCAAATCCGTATTTGCTCTCAGTCGTAAGACACATCAGAACGGCATTGTATAAGTATTATCGGTGGCGAGACGGTATTTTTTTTAATGCCGTCGTTCGAATTAGCGTCGGCCGCATTTTAAATGCCGCCCTAATTATGGAGCTGTTTAACATTAAACGCATTAACATGTTTTGACGAATTAACCAACATTAGCTTCATTTATTTTATAGAAACAGCAATTCGAAAACAAAATACGAGCGTTTATAATTACTTATCTATTTTTGTAAAATGTAATATGTGTCACGATTTCTCACTATTAAAGAGCTCTTTGAAATGTTCTACTTTTTTAACGACATCTTAGAAGACTTTTTTCACGGTTTTTTTTTTACTAGGTCGTTGAAGCAATGTGACAGAGGAATCTGAGTCGCGTGATTCCTGAGAATCGCGTTTTCTATACATGTATAATTGTTGGTCGCAGAAGTAAGTTTTCACGTTAGCCGCATAAACGAAGTTTCTAACGATTAAACGATTAAACGATGAAAGTGGATCGTAAAAGCGCGACTCGCCGTTGCTTGCGCGACTTTAGAGTTCCTGTACATGCCGATATACGGTATATAATCAATGGACAGCGCTGTCGCGCGAAGTTATCGCTGTCCTAAAATCGCTCGTAAAAAAAAAGTTACGTTTGATCAAAATAGACTTACTCTAAAGCCGTATTTTGACAGTCTGCCGATGGCCACGATAACTGCGTCATATTTCGAGAAATGACTGCAAAGTGCACAGTAACATGATATTTACATACACGTGCATGTGCGCGCGCGCGCATACATCGCGACGCGCACAAAGCAACAATATAAATTTCATGAGTGTTTCATAAATACAAACCCCGTGAATATTTGATACGCACGCCGGCACACAATGCAGTTTATAACGCGATATTCGCGTTTGAACGCGACACGCGCGCAAAAGAGGACACGCGAATTAAAGCAACGTTTCGCGGATCGCCCGACGGAAATTATTTTCGATTATCCCGACCGCTGACATCTGACACGATCGGGCAAATACTCATAATGACATTCTTTTTCGGAATCAACAATTCTGTAATTAAACTTTGATTTTATATATATATATATAAATTATCGATTGAAAATTCACCTGCAGGATAATAATTTAATTGGCATTAAAATCGATTTTTTCGAGCATAGAGCACCCAGCCTTGTTTTTGAAAATCTGGAAAAACCAATTTTAAAAATCGACCAATAAAATAATCCAAATTTAACGACATTGACTCCTGAAATGGAATCACATTTCGATCGATCGGATATGCAACGTTCGCTTAAATTAAAAAAAAAAGGAACCATCCACGTGAGACGGCTCTGCCGTTCGTCACTGTTGGTTTGTATAGGTTCGTGAAAGCGCGTGCGGCGCGGCGTGAAAGTACGTCCTCGCCGAGTTTGGACAAAATGTGCCGTGTAGTATTACAGGTCGGCGGGTACATGCACGACCGACTCTCGACATATTTTTTTCGCTCCCCTGCTTCCCCCGCAACCCTCCGTTTCAACTCCCCCTCGTCATTTCGGCGCACCGCGAACCGGTACTTATATGTCCACGTGCGCGTGATACACTCGGCGCGATCGAAAATACGGCGAATGTGGAAATCGACATACGTTTTCGCGATGAAAACGAACGTCTCTGTTGAATTTTCGGGTCGTAGCGCTCCAGTCTGCCGGAAAAAGCGGAATCATTGTGCTCTAATATCCTCAACCATCCATTTTGCACCTGAATTTTGTGACAACAGTTGTGATTGTTAATTGATGATCACTGTTGCACTACATTCCGTCATTTCTGAAATCTTTGCAATAATTTATAATTAAAGTTTCTTTTAGAATTTTTTATAATATTTATAAGAAATTTGCTATATCAATATAAAATCTTTTAAATAATTAAAAATGTAAAAGCTCATCAAAATTATATCAAAGATTCGCATAAACTTAAGATAAAATAAGATAAAGCTTTATTATCTGTTTATGAAGATTAAATTATAAATCAGCTTTATTATCAATCGTTTATAACATTATAATAATTATAACCGTTAGAATTTAAAAAAAACTCGACTTCACGTGCGTTAAAGAATTTTACAATTATTGATTTTCCCAATTATTAACTAATCATTGCATTTGCATTTACGTTATTTCATTTCACTATACTTCTAGTTGTAAATCTCGTGGTTTTATCGCGATATATTGTCTATTACGGACTTTCAGATGTACGCTTTCGCATCTCACTACACATGTATTACAAACCGTTGTACGAAAAATGGCAGATGATAAAGCGCTACAATTCACCTTCCAGCACGTTATTGCATCGATATTTCTGCGAAAATATTGCAGCTTCGAGATGATCGACATAATTCTGCTGCAGAGGAAAGCGTGCCGCTTTCGTCCGGTAGCATCCGTCTTCCATTTAACGCGTCCATTTAACTGCTGACACTTTACACATCGGCACTCAGGTGTCAAATAGATGGTTGTTCTATATAACGGGAACCAGAACGTCAATTTTTGCTACATTGAGATGAAAAATATATATCAGAAAAATGTAATTCTTGAAATGTTTATATGTATAAATAAGACTCTCTCAGTTATTGCTTGCTTTTCTTGTAGTAACAGAGCGAGCGCTGAACAAACAACCAATGTTATTCCCAGTCAATGTATTTTCCCTTTTATATAACTATAAATATTTAGAATATCTTTAGAAGTTGATAGCATAATCATTAATAATTAATAAATATGTAATGGCGGAGTAGTAAAAAATAATCTTTTTTTTTTTTATAGAAAAAGCATTGAAACTCTATTTCTCGATTTTTATGCAGAATGTTCTGTAAGATGAATATTTTTCATGTATAAATTACTGATCTTGTATGCATAAGTTATCTGTATCTAAAAAAAAAATCTACAAAAAGCGTAACAGTTTGTATAATTTTGCTGTAGTAATATATATTATTTATTTTACACGTGCAGTATTCTCACATAGCGAATGCGGTCAAAGTTTGAGTAACCCGGTCTCGGGATGTTGATAAAACATCTTAACGCAGCACAAGAATGAATTATATAAAAGTATACTTCTCCATTACAGCGTAGATGTCGCAACTCCGAGAAACTAACAAGAAACTTCCAAGGATATTACATTTAAGTTCTTAATGTACTCAATTTTATATATCAGATAAATATCAGTCCTTCTCTCTCTCTCTCTCTCTCTCTCTCTCTCTCTCTCTCTCTCTCTCTCTCTCTCGCTCGGACTAAACATTTCAAGTAGCTATAAATTAGATCGAACATCGTATCGTTGATGCCACTATCCGGATAATTCAAATTTTATCGATATTGGGTTATATTGCATGTCTAGTACACGTAAGATATTCTTTTCAATATTGCAGATAGATAATATCGTAGCTAAAATGTATAATACCGAAACGTGTGTATTGTAAACATCCTCACTTTTATTTTCCATACTTTATAAATGATAAAATACAAAGATGAAACTGGTTTATTTATTTATAGACAATAAGAGCAACGGAACGATGCAACAATCCTATACCATTAAATCCTATAGCGCATGTGGACCAATTAAAAAATACGCGTTCGGAAAGTTTCATTTCAAAATTACTACATTAATCGAACATTTTATTTAGGATACTGAACTGAATGTAGTAACAATATTTAACGATCGATAGACCATCTGTAAAAAAAAATTCTCAATATCTCAACATAGCCTTAAGGTGCCTATCTCCTGTCAGTGCTGCATCTTTTTAATATCCAAGCGAATGCGCCCCGTTCGCGGAGCCATTTATCGAAAGCTGCGGATCTCCAAGAGAAAACGGAACGTCATGTAACATTTACCGCGAATGCTCGTCGAGCGATTCACTCGACGTAATCCGCTAAATCTTTCAGGCGTGTTCGCCAGCTAAGCCCGATAAGGGCCCGCGGTTCTCACGACGAATTCTTGCTGTTCGTCTCTCGTAGGGAGGCTCGTGCGCCGAATAATGCATCGGCTGGGTCACTTTAACGGAACTATGGAACTAAATGGGCTACAACATTAGAGCGCAAGGTGCCGAAAGATCGTTACTGGACGAATATTTTATATATGTATTTTTCACTCCAAATTTCTAGTTTCTTATTTATTTCTTATTTATTTTAGACCAAAAATCGTGCACGCAGATTAAATTTAAATTCAATTAAAATGGTCTAATGACAGTCATATTTAGATTATGATATTAGAAACGTTTCTTTTTTGTCATATACGTCAAAACAAATGAGAATAATTCTTCTTTATCAATAATACTTCGTTATCAATTCTTGCCTATAAAATAAATTTGTAACTTCTTTAGTACTACTCTTTTGTATTAAACATAACGTAATCTTTCGCCCGAAACATAACATAAATTTTACACTTATTCTTCGAATACATAATTATATTCCTATCGCTAGGATATCAAATTATGATACATAAACCTTTCAAAGCGATTGTTTCATCTCGTTTATCCGGAATAATAAGAAACACTGGCGACCGTTAAAAAAAGCCACGGGAATGTGCGCGCGCGGTCAGGCGCCGCACCAGCGAGCATTGAGCAACCGTTCGTCTTTTCTCAGCGTTTCTCATGTGTTTTCCCGGCTCCCGCAGCGATTTCCTTGAGACACTTTCCGACCGATTTTCCAACTCGGCGCCGGCGACCGACTCGCCGACGTTTATACGCGCATTGACGCGCATTCTGCCTTTCGATCCGCTTTCGTTTGCACGACTCTCAAGGCCTCGACCGCCGCGCGCCGGTTTTTCCACGCTTAACACTCCACTGTGAGATGACAGATTACAAACGCGTCAGTTTATCTGCAATCGATGTCAATCGCGTTTGCCAAGGGCTGTATCACGTGAATGAGCACAAGTGCGCCCACCGTCGTTATACACGCGGAATATCACCGCGATCGGAATATATTGCGGTTTAATTATTATTATAGGCAAGCCGCCTATGACGCTAATTAAAATTTATTACATCGTAAAAGTTATCCAGATGACGTATTCAGCTGAAGTCCAAGAGTTCTAATTTTTATGTTATTTTTATTGTTCTTGTTATTTATAAATAAATAAAAAATAAATTACTAAACACCAGTTTGTTTCAATCAATTTCTATATAATACAATGATGTTAATCATTTGATTAATTAAACCTTTATTTAAAATGCATGCCTATAATCTTTGGGCAGACAAATCTTTGAAAACATCTACACTATTTGTTTTTCGTTTTTTTCCGACAATCAATTCACGTATTCCAATCTTCTTCCAATTTTAAATCAAACAACATTTAATTTCAAACTCTCTACAGTATTTGATATATTGTAATATTTCTCATTTCATGTCATTTTTCTTTCTTTTGAATCTTGACAATCCTTTATTACGAATACGATCGCATATTCGAGGATCAAAATAACAAACAGATTTTTTTTACATATTGTTTCGTTGTTTTATTGTACATGAATAAGCCGGAAATTTTCAAACAATTTTTTTTGACGAACTATTCTTATGACGTGCACGTTGATGATGGGTAATGGAGAAAATTAAGGGACGATTTTCAATGGCATCGTTGAGGCACTATCACCAGTGGAACTGTTAATAATAGTGCTGTATATGTGATAGCGCAGTGACATTAGTATTCTACGTCTATATCCTGCCAGTTGGTACAACGACCCGATCGAGCTGAATAGCCGCATCGTAGACGCGTTTAATGGGAGCTGCGGGATGTGACGCGGTGCCGAGACAGAAAAATTAGATTATTCATGAAATTGACTATTTGAAGAGCATCTCGCGATATACAAAGCGACCCTCGTCAGCGTGCGATTATAAGAAAAAATTGCTACGGTAATGTAATTGTTCGCGACACAAATGGAGGTGTCACCGACGCACAGTAGATAATTTAATGTATAACAAAATCGATAACTTATCACCGCTATAGCTAGGCGTCGCTGGCGCGAACGAGCAGATTAAAAAAAAAAGCGCAACCGCATTTTTAATCCATTTCGCCATAATTGCGAACTTCGTTACGGAGAAACACTATATTCTTATGAATAATGTATCAGTCATAATGCAAGAGTATTAAGTTTCGCGAGATAAATCAGAATACAAGTTGCGGAGTACTGTAATTAAGTCTTCGTCACGGTTAAGTTTCTAATTCTCCCTAGTCAAGCATTTTGACGTTTTTCTATTGTCGGTTCACAATTTCTAAAACTAGCATTTCTCTGTTTCGATTAAATCAATTTCTGTTCAGGTTATTTCTAATTCATTGTTAGTCAAATTCGTCGATATTTAGTTGAGTTGTTATCCTGAATATATTTGAGATTCCGATACGATCGTTATAGTAAATTTTCCAATTTGCGGAAAAACTTTCGAGATTAATCCACGCAATAAAGCTCCAGTTCTATCTTAAGTGACTCAAAAACTCGCTATTAGAATCGAGAGATCGAGATTACTGTCATCCACCGTTTTTCGGAGAGAAGAGTCTTATTATTCCTTCTGACAAATCGGGGCGAGACGGGCTAACACGTGGAATCGGATTTAGTGAGAAAATCGACTTTCGGCGAGTGGTCAGACTCGCTCCCGCCGGCGGGTTTGCCGCAGCTGATCTGATCTCCCACCTCCTCCATTCCTCCATCTCTGCCCGTACCCCCAACGTGTTACTCAGCCGCCTCTACAGCAAGCAACGGCAAATTGGACCTGCCCGGCTCGCTGTTGTTGTATTCACAGTTGGTACGAGACTGACGTACGATCTCTCACGGGGAAACCGCGTGGGTGGAGCCGGTTGTGTTCCTTATTTTTACCCACTGCGCGCTGCCCGCTGGAATTGTACTCCGCGCTCCGGAGTTTCCGCTGCTACAGCATATACGAGAGACGCACTATATCCACGTGTATGCGCGTATGTACACGTACGTGTTTGTACACACAGTCGAACGCAATAGCGTATACGTTTGCTGGGTGGAAATGCTCTTATCATGCCTTCAAATTTTTCTTCCACTTTTATCTTCAACCCGTCCGCTGTTGTACTACCACTAGACGAGCGGTAAACTGCAGAGAGTGATCCGTAACAGGTTTGCACGCGAAACGTTAGAGGAGCGGAAAATCAGTAACGTCAAGTAAATCGAGAACATTAATTTTTTAATACTCAAAATAATAAATTATTAATAATATTAATTATTATCATTGCAAACGGAAATCTCTTTTTCTTTTCTTGATATTCGTTTTTACTTTTCGCTGTAAAATAAAATTCTTGTCTTTAAAAACATCCAGCATGTTTATTATTTTATTTTATTCTATTTTTTTAATTTATTAGATCTATGCCATTCTTTAGTTAGGATCTAATCATCCCTCCTCTGCACTTGGGTGATCAAATCCGAGCTTATGCACTGCCCGTATAATTTCCTCATCACATGCGCAGCTTTCGAGATATCGGCATGCCGCGTATAGTTCTCATTCAACTGTGACTATAATCACAGACTATTCCGCAGAAACGACGTGGAAATGAAATCATCTTTGTAAGCTCGATCGCGATCG